AAGATCCCTTAAAAAAAATATTGTTAACATTTATTTGGTGTATATGCCCACCTTAAGTGATAGCCAAACTTAAGATAAATCAAATTATTATCGATTTAACAAATGGATTGAAATGATTTATGAAATCAATTCCTGGTCATTGATGAATTCTTTTGACCACTAGACGTATTTTGTATCTAGTAATGGATTCATCTAAATTTTGCTTCATTCAAAAGATTCACTTTCAATAGTATGTTTTGTGAGATGAGATGATATAAGGATTCATATAACATTATTGGGCTTAGGTTATGTTTGTGGGTTCGATAGAGTTGGGTAGAGAGCTTATATAGTACGAAGATTAAAAATTTAACATGATTTGAATGTCAATTTGTGAGCATATTGTTGTGTGATATTTAAGCTTAATGGTATTATTAGATTGTGTTAAAAGTATGAGAATAAAGATATTATTTAGTGTCACTTGATCGAAAAGAGGATAAAGATATTATTTATGGTGCTAAGGGTATTGCTTCAAATGTTGCAAATTGAGATGATGGAGAGATGGATTTAGAAGTCATAGAAGGGGTGAGGTGCTGTTCAACTAGAGTAACAAGTGAGTATAGGTCTAGAAGGAAAATACTGGTTGATGTGATAAGAGGTGTGCTTAAGGGAGCTTGATGTGTATATATATGAATCCAATGATGGATGATTATTATAGCAGCTCACATTATTGAAGGGGCAAGATATTGAAAGAAAAAAGTATACTTAATAAAAATATCATGATGTGATATAAAAGCCTTTTAAGGATCGAAGCACCAAAAAGTATTATATTTAAGAGTGTATTTAATGAAGATGCATGACCTCAATCTTGGTGTTAACTTGTGTGAACCATAGGGGCATAACTAGGGATAACATAAGTAATCAAATAGTTAAAGTTTTTTAAAGTTTAAGATTTTATAAGATAGTCATTCAAATAATGATTGGTGTTGTACGATTAGGGTGAGAATTTGGTTAATGAGATGTATAAAGACTACTAACCAAAAGGTTAATAGTGTGAAAACTTGGTATAGGTGAGTGAGACTAATTTCAACTATATGTTAGTGCTTTCATTTAGTAGGGTCAACTAGTTAAGGTATATATAATGATGATTTAAGATATTATATACTATATAATGAAAGATAAGTTATTAGAGCTTGATATTCACATTTTCCATTAGAACAAATATATTAAAGTTTTGTAGATGGCTTTTTTTTGCTGATTGTTGTCATTATGACATCAGAACTATTGATAGTTGTAGTGATTATTATAGTTGAATTTATTTTCTGAGTTATTTAGATTAAAGTTATCATTATAGTTAGAGAGTTGATAGTGTAATTGTAATACCTTGATTAGTCCCACATCGGAAGTAGACATGACTAAGATTAACTTATAAGATTTTAATAAGTATATTATTATTAATTTAATTTAAGTATTTGGATTAGTAGTTTAAGTCATATAAAATTGATATGCCAATTAAAAAATTATAACACCTTGATTAAAGTTAAGTCATTTATAATAATTTTTAGATTTTGTATGTAATTAACAAAACTTTCCTTTTGATTGTTTTAATCAAAGTAAATAATATGACTTAGCATACGAGTGTAAGATTGATCGGTGAAAGTAGTTTGCAAAGTAGATAATGCTTTTGCTACAGCATTACAGGAAGAGATTAGTAGTGCTATATAATTAATAACTGCTTGAATGATTTGTAGAATAAGGTAGTCTTGATGTAATTATAATTTTTGATTAAGATTTACCCTTAAGGTTGTCCTATTATTTGAATATTTTTAGATGGACAATTGAGGGAACTATTGACATAGCTTAATAGATTTAAAAAGAAGGTTGAATTGTTCTTACTAAGATGCATAATTATCCCTTTGGATAGCTTGGAATGAATTAGAGTGATTGCATTGATAGATATAAGCTTAGCATATTAAGAAAACCTATTGTGGATAGCTTGGAATGAATTAGAGTGATTGCATTGATAGATATAAGCTTAGCAGATTGAGAAAACCTATTGTTTCTAGATGAAATAACAACCAGAGTGTTAGAACTTGAGAAAGTAGATGAAGCACCTGATGAAGTGTCACCTTATGATCATATTTAATCAGATCTAGAATAGATTAAATTTGATAGTTAAGGTGGAGCTGATATAGATCAAATCAAACAAATTAGATTTGATAAGGTAGAATCGATGTAATCGAAGGGATGTAACCATTATGGAGTGATATAGAATAGATTGATCATAGTGAGAGATCACACTATGTTTAATTGGTCCAAGCTAGTTCATGATGATTCCAAACTAACTTAATCGATACAAGCCTACTTGACCTAATTAAAATTAATCAAATCTAAATTAGATCAGTCTAGGATAATTTTATACCAACTTGATGAGCATTTGAGTTTGGTTTCATCATATCCCAATTGAATTGAGTTTGGTTCAAGTCAATTGAGTTATTCCAATTTGGATTCTAGTTGATTAAGAACTATCAAGAGGTTGATATCTCGTTGCTTTATAATTTAAAGGTATTATTTAAAAATAATTATTGATTATTTAATTAAATTAATGATATTAATATGATTATTACCATGTAGTATATATGACTATGCTAAGTGATCCATATTAGAAGTGTAAACTATGAAAGAAGCTAAGGGTCCATCATAGTATGGAGCCACCAATAGACATAGTTTAGTAGATCATACTTCAAAAATGATCCTTCATAAAATTTTATCATACTATATTTTGGATACATGCATGAATGAATGGATGAATATGAATAAATAATCATGATTGACTGTATATCCTTACTAAGGGTTAGTAAGGTGATTCCTTTTGGGGATTAATAGGTTATCAGATATGACAGTTAGATAATTCCTCCATTTACTATTGGGAGAAACATATCTCCACTTGGACAAGTGAGGGATACCACTTCTTTTATTGTTTGGAGTGTAATATAAGTTCCCTCCATCCGTTGTTTAGAGAAATACATCCTATAGAATAAACCTCTTCGTATACTATGATGTATGCTTTTATTACTTTATTATTATGTATATCATCGAGATATATTGTATGTGTATTATTTTATTTATTATATAATAATAATTATTATATTTCTTGTATATGAGTTTCATAATAAATTGATATATTATCATTTCATATTAAATTATTGATATATATATTATAAATATTAGATATTATTTTTATAATTTTTAAGGTTTCTATTGACATATGTGATTACTGATGGGTTTCTATCTTATATTTATTTTCAAATTAACCTACTACTTAACATATCTAAGGTTTGATCAGAGGAAACTTTTTCATCACTTGTAACATTTGAAAGATTTTCTTTTCAGTTAAAAAATATTTAGTACTATAAAGATAGGGATTGGAATTGAAAGATAAAAAAAAGAGAATCTTCTGTAATAATGAATAACGAAATGATGATTTATTTTTTTAAATAAATATGAGATGGGACAAATCACCAATGGGGAGAAGATACAGATGATGAATCGTTGATGCCGGACAAATCAATATTATCGCTTGGCCAAATTAGCAAGGAAGGAGCGATCAAGGCAAATCAGCAAACTATCACTTGGGTAGATCAACGATGAAGCTTTGATAAGGAAACTTATTCATTACAATAGGAAATAGGAGAAGGTAAGGAGAGGATGGAATCTTTGGTTGGAGCTTTGATATTAGGAAAAATTTATTGTAAAAGTGATGATAATTTCATTCGTTATACACTCAAATCATGTGATTAATTCTTAAATTATAAATTGAGTAAAAATTAAAATATATAAAAAATAAAATTATTATTTTATATTTATCCTTATCATGATCTTATGTTAGATTTGGATGTAATCATTTTTGGAATAGGAGAACTTATTCCTCGCAAAAGACCGCTCAATATTTGCTAAAGAAGTCGAACTTTCCTGTGATTCTTGATTCCTACTTTCTAGGATCAATGCGCCCAAGCATCTCACCGCCCCTCCACCCCAAAAGCTCATATGTGCAAGAACGACCCCCACCCCCATCCAACTGCTGAGATCCAGAAGCATGCTTTGGTTTGATCCCAGCAATCACTGGAATGGAACATCGCAACTTGTTTTCCTCTCTCTTCCCTTCCCTCTCTTCTTTTTGTTGAAGATGCCATGGCTGATGTGACAATTCTGACATCAGCTGCTGCTATTCTCGTTTCTTGGTTGATCACCGCAGAGGCAATATCGATACTTAGTGCTCTCAGAATCCCATGAAATGAAACCGTACAAGTCAGCTAACCATGCATCTCTTAAGCTTCCTACCGGTTGCTGTCCCCTTCTTTTGATTCCTGAGATGAGGGTGGCACTGCCACTTTCTCGTCTTTTTCATGGCGTCAGAGTAGCAGATGGAATGTTACTGTTGAATGATGCGACGTAGAGAACACTAGTGCGCTTCCGAGTGTACACCATATCCGACGTCTCGTAACCTAACTCGCAGTGTTTTGCATGAACAATGGTGTACGTACACTTGGAGTCATACATTATTGTGATTCTTGTGCTCTTAGGAACGAAATTGTGATCCTGATTTCTCTGTCACTCTGTAACCATTTCTTCTTCATCTTCTTCTTCTTCTTCTGTCGCAGCCATGACTGCAAAATCTTTTTCACTTCATCTATTGTCACCTCTAATTAGTGATCTCTATATGTATTCTCCTTAATCCAGTTCCAGGCAAGGTTTCTTTTCTATTGGTAGAGGGAGAGGATATTTGGATCATTACATCTTTTATGTAAATTATAACTCTAGGTGAATGAGTTTTGGATCTCCTTCTTTCTGCTACATTTTCATTACAATGTAAACATCAAACACCCATCAGGAAGCCATCAATGCTCAAAAGTTCTTCACCAACAACTTCACATTCACACAGGCGTTAGTGCCAAGTGTCAGAGGTCGAAGAACTGCTCATGGTTTGACAGAATGCCATCGGGACAAAGCAAAGAACACAGATCTGTACCATTCTTCCTTGTTCAAGTAATTTATATATCTATACAAGCAAAACCAAACCGAGTGGCGATAATTATACACATTGGAAGAAAGCAAAGACACGGACCTATGTGTACATATCAATATAACTGTGCTGTTCTCTTCTTCTTTGTTGGACTCTGCCATATCTACACCAGCACAGATCAGAAGCACTGGAACACAGATCGGAGAGCAGGCTTGTACGTGGGATTTGCTGCCAAAGGCAACCTTCTTTTCTTGGTTTTCCAACTCAAAATGGAGCTGTTACAGTTCTCTGCAGCGCACGCCTGGAAGCAGTGGGGTTCTGTGAAGCTACTACTGTCATACGCAGCTGTCGCAGATTTTGAGAAGAACCACAATAGATCATCTAACATGTCGCTCTAGAAACAAGGATGGAGTTAAAAGTTACCTCTTCAAGCTCTCTCCTTAGCGCATGGTTCTCATTCAGCAGACGAGCAACTTCTAGCTCAAGCTCATTTATGTAGGCCTGTCTCGTGGAAGACGATCGAGGTTAGAATTCTTGAACCCATTTGAGAGTGGTCATCATTGGAAGAGACAGTACCTGTTTCCTGGCTCTCGATCGAGCAGCCGACTCGCGGTTCTTGATTATCCGCTTCTTCCTGCGCTCGGCGCCGTCTTGGCCGTCGATGCTCCTGTTAGGCTGCTGCTCCGGTGAACGCTTCTTCGTGCACTCAGAGTGAGCGTCGTTGAAGGAAGAGCCACTGATTTTACAATCACAGGCGCTGGTATTGAGATCATAGCCAAAGAACCTGACGGAGTTGTCAGGACTGGGATCAATCGAAGCCGGAGGACGGCTGCTTGGAGGAGGAACCCGAGTTGCTTCTTTGGGGGCATCCGCAAGGAAGTCCTCGAGGGTGATGCCTCCGAAAGAGGAGGTGGTGGTGGGGTTGGAAGTGTGGAAGGTCCGGTGGTGGTGGTGGTGGAAGGAGAGGAGAGGGGTTGAGGGCACGTCTTGGTGGAGGGTGCTGAGGCTTATGTCCTTCCAAACTTCTTCCATGCATATCAGGTAGGGTAAACAGAGCAAGTAATCGAGAAGAAAACCTGGAGGAAGAGGGCAGGCACTTCACTGCAGATTTGTGAGGCACCGACTCAAAAGCACACTGGTTATCATGTTGTGCTTTGCAAAGGGGCTGTAGGACCAGGAAAACATAATATAGTACTCGAAAGCATCAACTTGCTGTTGCTCGCTAGTGTTGCTTGTTGATCGATCCTTGGTCCGAGGAAGAGCTTTTAATGTGCCCCATAGGAGCTGTAAGATGATCCTGTTCTTACCTTCGTGGTACATGCTTCCACGTCCCGGCTCGTCTCAAGACGACAGGATGTGGCACACATCAAGAATCGCACTGCCGCTCCGATCACATCGTGAGTCACATACCATGATCAGAGGCCGCGATTCAGATCATGACGTGAAAGGCACTTTTCGCGATTCAGATCCGCAGGAACATTCCTCCCGTTTAAATCCTTCCATGTCCAAATCTGTAGATAACAGTTCTCACTTGCTTCGTGTTGGTCAGAGCATGTAGACGGAGTTGAGGTCTTCAGATGCTTCAGATGCACCTGAATTTGGTCTGAAAAGCAAACATTGGTATGTTTTTGCAGTACTTGAAGAATTCTTCTATCTGTTTTGAGTATCTATCTGAACTCTGCAGCTCCACAGTGGAGTTTACTGCTATCAAGTATGACAATTTAGCTTGCAGCAAAGAAGCAACCATGGTTATCATCTTTTCCGTGGCATCCAGGTGCGCAGTAAAAGTGCCTGCCCTCTTTCTTTTCCATGCTTCTGCTTCCTTGTGGCTTTTTCTGGATATGTTCTGCTGCTCATCGGGCTGTGGTCAGAACAAGACTCATGGCAGGGAGGAGGAAATGGGCGGCATTCCAAAAACGAACAGGACTCAGCTTTGGATGTGGCGGAGAAGGGGAAAGGATAACTGTTGGGATGTGACCATTTCAGAATCTGCAGCGCCTTGGTTTGATTGGCTCCATGGTTTACGGACAGGGAGGCAGCTTTCATCTGACAGGAAGATGACAGGTGGTGGGGAATCGTTCGCTGTTCTCCGCTGTGCATGCGCGCTGGAATAAGATTGTGTTCGCCTCCTGCTTAGATTTCAATACACGCAGCAAATGTAAAGTCCCAACAACTTTCTCATGATCATTGGACACGGACAAGAAGCTATTCCGATCGAGAGAGACGTCTTGATTCCATGGATCGAGTTTGCACCTGAAAGATACAGAGAGCTTTTGAGAGCAAATTCTGGGATATAAAGCAGTATTTTTGTGAGAGGAAAGAGAAAGATTAGTGCATGAGGGCAGAAATGGGATTGCTGATAACAAAGCCAACATATCTCCTTTTTGTCTCAGGTTGTGAAGGTGATCTGGTTTGGGTTCCGACAAGCAAATGCCAAATCAAATTGATTTGGACAGGAGCTTTGTGCGATGCAATTTGAGGAGCTGCATGATTCCCTCTCTTTTGGTGGAAACACCTTCTGCTTCCTTCATCTGGCCAAATGATTGGGCTGCGACACAACATGCACCATGAACAGTTTGATCAAAACCAAATATGTCAAACAAATTGAAAGTGTAACTTACTCCATCTAAGATTTCAACATGCAATAAAAGCCAAATGGAAAAAATTTAAATAACTGGTTAGTCAAATTTGTCAGAAAATCTATGGAGGACCAAGTGATCATCCAAATTGTCTTTTACTTTGAGCTCTGTTATGCAAAGTCTCTTGTATGAAAAGTTTAGAAGTCAATATATTATTTCTGTCAAAAGAATGTCACATTTGTCAAGTTAGATATCATAAAATACAGGGTTAGGATCACCAATTATTGTATGGCTTCTGTTCTGATCCAATTATTCTATATTAATATAGGTGACTGGAACCCTAATGTTATGATGTGATGGAACATCTTTGACCTCTAAACCCATGACCTATCAGCCAAAGTATATAAATATTTGCTATACTTGAATTGATCAGTGCCAATTCCACCCATGTCCATTCATCCTAAATATATAGATAGCTGCTACATTTAGGTTACCCACTGCCAACTTTTAGTTCTATTGAAAGAAAGAGAGATCACCCCAACTCATGTTCGAGAACATATATCAAAAATGTCAAAAGTGAATTGAAAGGGGTACAAAAAACAACCATTGAACCAATCTAAATAAGATAAGACAATAAGAGTTTTGCGGTTTATATCCTTACAGGAACTAAAGAGAGTCACTACACAGTCCCTACCTCGCCTAAGGGACATTTCATGCTTAAAAGAAGACATATAATGCTTCTATTTTGGTCTTTTGTTATTTGAGAAAGCGCTTGAATCTTTTGAAGTAACAATATTGAAAAGATAAGAAAGCAAATGATAGCACAAAATGGACTAAAAGATCTTTCCAAATTGCTGCTGAAGAGACAAACTTAATACGCGGTATGCGTATAATCTTAATGTAATATACACATATATACAGAGTGAAAAAAAATTCTGAATTTCCATTAAAAACTAATGTATAATTATTTCATGAAGACAAATCTAGAGGTCTTTGGTCTCCATGTCATGCACCTATCTCTGATGTCCTTTTTGACATCAAGGATAAAAAATAACTCAAGAATTACAGGTTGTGCATAAATATGAGCACCTGTCATTTTATTCCAACAGCAAGTTTCAACTCATCAACAGTCAGCATCCAGCCTCATCCATTCATCTTAAATAGTTTAATTTAGAACACATGTCCTATGAACTACAAATAGCCTGGAATGATTTTTCGTATGATCTGAGAGAAGAATTTACTAGCTAATAAAATGAATCAAGATAGTACACTATCTTCCATTGGTGTGAAGACAAAACAAGCTTCAGAATTCTGTTGTTTAAGTTTTTGGTTCAACTTTTATGTTTTCTTGGTTAAACTTTATTGCTGTCTGATGGACTGAATAAAAATGCATGTACTCTGCAATTTGATGACTTCTAGACCTACACCTTTTGACTCCCTTGTCAAACTAGTATGCAGGTAAGAGTAACACAAAATGAAAAATATGTTGCTTCAACTTCATTTATCTCTGTTTCTCCACTTATTGATTGCAAATGAGGTCAAGATATGGACTTCTGGTAGCAGCCAGAAAGTTTCATACTTTGGGAAATAGTTTCAGAATCTCTACAGATGCGGAGAACCAATTTATCTTGGTAGTCTCCTTGTATTCGTTTTACATCAGTTTTATAGGAATAAAACATCCAGCAAATTGATACTTCACTTCAGTACGTGGAAAGCTTACCCATTGCATGTCCTGTAACCATAAACACTAAATCTATGATGCCCAAGAGAATGGGTTATTCAACCATACCCATAAATCTCACCAATAAGATAACGAAAACTGTAAAGCAATCATGAAAGCATTCGCTAAGCAAGGGTTCTCTTAAAAAACTCATTTGCAGATTAAACAGCTTAATCAAGTCTAATTTTCAACTGCTATAAGTCTCTGTCTGATCCTACTTCAGTATTTCAAATTCTAGGTAGTTTAAGTAATACCATATTCAAGTTCTAACTCCATGACTCCATCAATAGACTAGGATTAGGGTTCCTCAAAAAAAAAAATTGCTTCTTAACAAAAGAGCTCATGACTTCTGATTAATTAACATTTAGCGTTCAACTACTACAAGTCTCTGAATGATCCTATCTCAGTATTGAAACTCTGTACTTTATGTAATAAGTACATTGAAATTCTAGCTTCACGTTTTCCTCTTTCCCAGAACTCCATTCAATAGACTAGCTTTAGGTCTCTCCTAATAGTCTCGCTTCTACAGCCCTAAATCAGAATTTCCATTAAAACTACTTAAATATTTTGCACACCTTAACATCTTTTTGAACCAAATAAATTTCAAAATGCACATAGGATTTAGATCTGATAATATTTTACCACAAAATCAGTGATTAAAAGCGCTAGGCGCCTTTTGGCGCCATAGTCCCAAAATGGCTGAGGCGCTAGGCCTCGCTCGAGCAAAGTGAAGAGCTTTATAATTTAAAAATTATATATCACGATTAATAAAAATAAATTAAAACAAAATTATCACATCAAACTTGCATTCATTTAAAGTACCAAATTATGTTGTCCATATCGAATAACAAAATGACAAAATAAAGTGAGATTAACATCAAAGATCATTAAGATCTTGTTCATCATCTCAATCCTGTCACCATCTAAAGCTGCAACGACAATCCAAGACACTAAAAAGTAGCACTAATCACTACAGCAATAGCAATCATAATCGACATTTCACTACTGATTCACTACAGCAAGCAGCTGCTGTTCTCACAAACATAGACAAACAACAAAGACTAACAGCCAAGCAGGCAGCTATTCTAGTTTCAAATTGACAAACAGCAAAGACGTGGCAGTGGTGAACGGGGAAGAGGGGAGGGAAAGAGGGAAGAGACTGTATGAGGGCTGCGGTGAATGAGAAAGAAGGCAGCGGTGAAAGGGCAAGAAAGCAGCGATGAACGGGAAGATGGAGGGGAAGAGGGAAGAGGCTGCAGTGAACGTAGGAGGGATACAGTGAATGGGGAAGGAGGAGAAGAGATAATAGGGAAGTGGCTGTGGAGTGCTGCGGTGAATGAAGCAGAGGTAGGAGGGAGGAGGGAGGAGGAGAAAGAGAGAGATATACCGGGAGGGAGGGGAAGAAGCCGCTGCCGCTGCCGCCACTGCTGTTGGAGGAAGACGTCGCTGCTACCGCTGGAGGAAGACGTTGTTGCTGCTGCTGAAGGAAGACACTGTCGCTGCTGTCGTTGTTCGCCGATGGGACAAACTCCACTGCTGAGCAAAAACGAGGCTAATTACATATTACCCCCTCTAGTTAGACCAATTTAGTATCTTGATCCCTAAATTTAAAAAAATTACATTGAAATCCTTATAATTATGAAAGTGAAACATTTAACCCCATTTACTCTAGTGCTATCAACTTTACTAATGAAGATACAGTGCGAGATAGCACGTGCATGAATCATATGAAAATGATGAGCAAAAAGATAATTTCAACGATGGTGGCAAACAGTGGCGTCGTTGGTGGCTATTGTGGTGGTGGTCAACGAGAACGACACGGTAGTCACCTGCCTCTTCTTCCTCCTCCGATGCTAACACAGATGTAGAGCAACACCAGAGGAAGAAGACAAGGCAAAGCGGTGCGACACTGACGTAAATGCCTCACCTCCCTATTCTTTCTCCTTCGGCGCCAATGCAGATGCCTCACCGCTCTGCCTCCTCTTCCTCCTCGTTGTCAATGTCTGGATCGACATCGACAAGGCCGACTACTGCGTCGTTTTTGCCATCCACCACCACAACAACCACCCACGGCACCATTGTCCACCACTACCATTGAAATTACCTTTTTGCCTATCGTTTTCGTGTTATTCATGCACATATTGTCACGTGTTATTTTTCATCGGTAAAGCCAACGATATTAGGATAAATGAGATTAAATATTTCACTTTCATAATTATATGAGGCGTGTTATGCACATGTCTTACTGCTCTGCTTCCTCGTTGTCAATGTTTAGATCAAGATCAACAAGGTCGACTACTGTGTTGTTTTTGCCATCCACC